CAACAATGACCTCCCCTGTGCAGAGTCACAATCTACCCGGCATGTGTAGTGCACAAGCAAAGGGGGCACCCCATAAAAAACAAGCACCATGACCCAAAGAAGTGCAGTGAATGCAAATTTTGATACAATTTTATGAAAAGTTTATTTAAAAAAAATTGAAAAAAATAATCCAAGACTGAAGACCTCCTCTGGGCAGAATGTCACGATCTACCCGGCATGTGTAGTGCACAAGGAAAGGGGGCACCCCTAGGGTTGCCACCTGTCCAGGATTCACCCGGGCAGTCTAGTCTTCAGTTTGGGATTTTTGTTAAAGTGGATCTATCATCAGATATACTTCTTCATGTTCTGTGCATGCATGATGAGCAATGTGTCATTGTAACCGTTCTCCCCCTTGTAATACCTGTGCAGGATTGACCCGGACAGTCCGGGTTTTGAATGCCGTGTCTGGGTTTCATGGCAGCTGAAACCCAGACACAAGATGTCAGGCAGACTAAAATAGTCTCTTCTGTGATATTTACATATGAATAAGCCACGGCTCATTCTCCCCCAAAAATGTCACAACGCTGCTAAAGTGTTCGGGTTTCGCTTGAAGAAAAGGTGGCAACCCTAGGCACCTCCCCCCAAAAAATGACTACAAGCACCATGACCCCAAGAGGTGAACTTCATGCAAATTCTGATGCAATTTTATGAAAAGTTTATTTAAAAAATGTTTTTAAATAATCTGAGACCGATGATTCGAAGGGGCAACAATGACCTCCCCTGGGCAGAGTAGGGTTGCCACATGTCCAGGATTCACCCGGACAGTCCGGGTTTTGAATGCTGTGTCCGCGTTTCATGGCAGCAGAAGCCCGGACACAAGATGTCCGGCAGACAGGGGCAACCAAAATTAAGATAAGAGCCACTGCCCCCCCACTGAAAATAGTCTCAAATGTGATATTTACCTAAGGATAGGCCACAACTCATTCTCCCCATAAAATGTCTGCGCGTCGCTAGAGTGTTCGGGTTTCACTTGAAGAAAAGGTGGCAACCCTAGGGCAGAGTCACAATCTACCCGGCATGTGTTGTGCACAAGGAAAATGGGCACCCAAAAAACAAACAAAAAACAAGCACCATGACTGAAGGAAGTGCAGTTCATGCAAATTTTGATACAATTTTATCAAAAGTTTGTCACAATCCACGTGTAGTGCATAAGGAAAGGGGTCCCCAGGACCCTCTATAGGTTCAGTCCACAAGACCACACTTGTAACTGTTTCCAAAACTCGCCACAGTGCCTCAAACTGCGCCAACTACAAAGCCGTTACCCCTGACCGATGACAAGCAGAGGAAAAAGAAAAGCTTCTTTTGTTTTGGGCAACGAGAGGTTAAAAGTAGCAGCGGTGCATGCTGGGAGCGGAGGGCTGTCTGCCTCTGGGTAATGTAGTTGTGTACACAGGAAATGTCTCCTCTCACTGTGCACTGCTGCTCTGTCTCTGATGGCTGCTGAACATTTCGGCTCTGTCTTTGTCTATCCGGCCACTTAAGAGCCCTTCGGAATCTCCTGGATGGACCGAGCTTCCAGGTAAGGCAACCGACGTCTTCCATCCTTCCGGAATATTACTAAATATCAATCATCTGTATTCCTAACCCCCCTACTAGGTGTGTTCCTGGACTTCTATCCTGGTCCATTATTCTATAGGACCAAAACCTGCTCTATACCGCCTGGTGCCTGACACTTTGTAGACCTTAGGATGGCCGGAGACGTTGGCGCAGTGGTCCACTGCCCCAATTATGGAGACAATTCTATTTATTTTTGTTTTGTTTTTCTGTTTTTTTTTCCGGTTTTAAACAGTTACAAGATAATCAAAAATGGATACAAATGTATTCAAAGAGGAAACAGGAACAGAACATAGCGACGAAAAAATATTGTCTGCTATAAATAACGACATCCGTTAAGTCAGTTCTCTGTTTTATTAAACTTTTGTTGTTGGAATATTTTTGTAAGAAGAAGCGTCGGACAATTTTTATTTTTAATAGACCTGGAGACCCTTTAATGGCGGCGGCTAAAACCAGGGCGAATTCAGACAGGAAATGTGTTGTAGGTACTAGACAGAAAAATTTGTGACTTGTTATATAGTATTATTAAAATATATATATTTGTGTGTGTGTGTATTTAGATTATATTTTAGTTTTGTGTATATATGTATGTGTGTGTGTGTGTGTGTATATATATATATATATATCTCTCAAATCGTACATTAGAACAAAGATGTACAAATCCCAGGAGCTCCATGTGCTCTTTAAAAATGACAGCTGCCTTACAGCTGCCTTAACTTTTGCATTTGTCATTAGTCTAGTCCTGGAGCTGGAAAAGTATCTGTACTCGTATTGAGTACAGTACTTGGTATCTGAATATCCCTAATAAAAACTAAACTCTGAGCCCATTCACACCAGGGCAGCTGCGGATCAGTGCAGTTTCCGCGCTGATTTAAAAAAAGGAGGTTTTGGGAGTTTTCAATTTGCGTTTCAGCTCTGAAACACAATTAAAAAAGCCCAAAACCGCGCTAATCAGCGCGGTTCCATTGAATGCTGTGTGGATACCGCACTGATGAGCGCAGCAAAAATAGCGCAGGGAGCAGTTTGCTTGAACCGCCCCGGGGTGAACGGGGCCTCAATG